GATCTTTAAAGGTGCTCTGCATTTATGTTTTGCGATCTCAGAAAGGGCTAGCGAGATACCATTTTGTTATATCATGTTATGATTATTTTGAGAAAGTGTTGTCATCCGAGTTTTATTATTATGGCTCGCTAGCTGATTATGTTATTGATATGAGTAATTGTGAGACCTATGTGTTATTGTTAGTATGGTTAGTTCATAATATTGGCTGAAACTTGAATGCTGGCTTTTCATGTTACAACAACAAGAGCAAATAGAGTTTGTAAAAGTTTTTCTTTATCACTTTCAGTTTATCAACTGAACTGCTTGAGGACAAGCAAAGGTTTAAGCTTGGGGGAGTTGATACCTCTCCAACATATCTACTTTTCCAAACACTTTTGCCCTTATTTTGGACTCTAACTTGCATAATTTGAATGAAACTAACCCGGACTGACGCTGTTTTCAGCAGAACTGCCATGATGTTGTTTTATGTGTAGAAAAGAAAAGTTCTTGGAATGTCCTGGAAATCCACGGAGGCACTTTTCAGATTTAATAAGAATTTTTGGCGAAAGAATTAATGCCAGGGGCCCACGGCCTGTCCACGAGACAGGGGGCGCCCCCCTAGGGCGCGGCCCCCTATCTCGTGGGCCCCCTGGACCTCCTCCGACCTCAACTCCAACTCCATATATTCCGTCTCGGGGAGAAAAAAATCAAGGAGAAAGTTTCATCGCGTTTCACGACATGGAGCCACCGCCAAGCCCTAATCTCTCTCGGGAGGGCTGATCTGGAGTCCGTTCGGGGCTCCGAAGAGGGGGATTCGTCGCCGTCGTCATCATCAACCATCCTCCCTCACCAATTTCATGATGCTCACCGCCGTGCGTGAGTAATTCCATCGTAGGCTTGCTGGACGGTGATAGGTTGGATGAGATTTACCATGTAATCAAGTTAGTTTTGTTAGGGTTTGATCCCTAGTATCCACTATGTTCTGAGATTGATGTTGCTATGACTTTGCTATGCTTAATGCTTGTCACTAGGGCCCGAGTGCCATGATTTGAGATCTGAACCTATTATGTTTTCATGAATATATGTGTGTTCTTGATCCTATCTTGCAAGTCTATAGTCACCTATTATGTGTTATGATCCGACAACCCCGAAGTGACAATAATCGGGATACTTCTCGGTGATGACCGTAGTTTGAGGAGTTCATGTATTCACTATGTGCTAATGCTTTGTTCCGGTTCTCTATTAAAAGGAGGCCTTAATATCCCTTAGTTTCCATAAGGACCCCGCTGCAACGGGAGGGTAGGACAAAAGATGTCATGCAAGTTCTTTTCCATAAGCACGTATGACTATTTACGGAATACATGCCTACATTACATTGATGAAATGGAGCTAGTTCTATATCACCCTATGTTATAACTATTGCATGAGGAATCGCATCCGGATAATTAGTCATCACTGATCCATTGCCTACGAGCTTTTCACATATTGTTCTTCGCTTATTTACTTTTCCGTTGCTACTGTTACAAGTACTACAAAAACCCAAAAACATTTATCTTTACTTTTGCTATCGTTACCTTTATTATCATACCACTGTTGCTACTAAATACTTTGCTGCAGATACTAAGTTATCCAGGTGTGGTTGAATTGACAACTCAACTGCTAATACTTAAGAATATTCTTTGGCTCCCCTTGTGTCGAATCAATAAATTTGGGTTGAATACTCTACCCTCGAAAGCTGTTGCGATCCCCTATACTTGTGGGTTATCTGTATCCCACAACTATTGTCTCCCTGCCTCTTCGGCGAGGTGGTGTGGCCTGGTGTTCGGCTTGATATGCCGCTTTATCCCGTCCATGTGGTGGTCGGTCTGATTGACCTTCCTAATTGTATTTCGACGGTATTGGCTCAAGGGCTTTGTCGATGAGTTGTGGCAGCAGCTTGCGCTTGGGGTAACTTTTTGTAGGTCGCTCGAGGCCGTACTCCTCGGCGGCCAGGACCTTGGTCCACCTTTCATTGAGCATATCCTGTTCAGCTTTGAGCTGCTGCTGTTTCCTTTTCAGGCTCCACACTGTGGCGATGAGCTGTCGCTTGAAGCGTTCCTGTTCGAGGGGTTCCTCTAGGACGATAAAGTCTTCGTCACCGAGGCTAACGTCCTCTTCAGAATCTGGCATATAGTTGTTGTCTTCTGAATCTTTGTGATCGGCGTGTTCGGGACTGTACTGACCAGCAAATCTCGGGTAGGGGGGGCCCAAGCTATATTTCTGAGGATCGATGGTAACAATGGACAAAGAACATAGGGTTTACCAGGTTTGGGCCCTCTTAATGGTGGTAAAACCCTACTCCTGCTTGATTATATTCGAAGGGTATAGGGGTTACAAGAGTTGATCTACCACGAGATCATATGGCTAACCCTAGATTGGCTAGCCTAGTAATGTTATGATCTTGCCTTCAATCTGACCCTCCGGTTTATATAGACACCAGAGGGGCTTAGGGTTGTACAAAGTCGGTTTAACAGAAAGGAAGTAGCATATCCTAACACCTAAACTTGCCATCCACGTATACGGGAGTCCCTATCGGACACGAGAGGTGATCTTCTATCTTGTATCTTGACAGTCCATCAGTCCGGCCCATATCCAATAGACCGGACGCCCGAGGACCCCTTAGTCCAGGACTCCCTCAATGGTCCCATGTTTGTAGGTGTTTTAATATCGACATTAGCCCAATTCCCTGCAATAAATAGGGTAACTCCCTTTAACTTAACTAATATATGGATAAATGAGAAAGTGATAATCGAGGGGGGGGGGTTTGTTTCCAGAGACTTTTTGGTGTAGGGACTATAAAAAGTCCCTTTTAGAGACTTTTTAACCAAACAGGAGGGATTAATAGGGACTAAAAGTTGCTTCTTGGGATGAAATGAAGAAGACTCTGAAGGAGAGTCTTTTTTAGGACTTTTTGGGACTTTTCCAATAATGCCCCTCCCTGCACCCATTGCCCCGCCACCCCATGGTGTTGTTTGGTTGTTATTTTTCTGTATACTAGGGGTAACATGGTCATTTAATAACCTCTAGGGAGGGACAGGGACTTTTTAGTCTCTGTAAACAAACAGAGAGGGACTTTTTAGGGACTAGGGACTTTTTAGTTGGGAATAGAAAAAGTCCTAGGACTTATGAACAAAACAGGGCCCAAGTCTATTATGAGATTAAATTTGATGAAAAGTGTATCTATATTCATATCCAAACAAAGATAGATCATAAATCATACATTCATTAGACGTAAATTAGGTCCACATTTAAAGGAACATTGACACAACGCCAGTTTTGTCCATATAAGAAAATACATACTTCCTTTCTTTGGATGTAAATCAAGTCCATCATTAATGATTATTGATGCATAAATTGATCTATATCCATATAAAAATATAGGCCATAAAGAAATCATTATTTGGATGTAAACCATGTCCATATTTAGTGAACATTGATTGAATAATTATTTTATACCCAACTCTAGAAAGATTTGTGCACCGGACCATCACTCTTTACTTGTTGAGTACATTAGCAATACGATGCCATCTAAAGCTTTCCCAAAAAATAATGTGGCTCGATTCTATATAAGTTGTGTTCTCTAAAGAACATACATGTATGTAAGGAATCACACAATTACTATTTCGTTCATAGGAACACAATTACCCATACAATATGGGAGGTGACTATGTTGTGATACCAGTCTTACTGTGCTTTTTGTGTATAACTTGCCAACTCACCTTGGTTGATTCGGTAGACGTAGATGGCAATCTCGCGATGGATGAGAAGTTAACCGATATTTTCCTTTTAGCTTTGACAAATACAACTCTTGTCAATTGGTTTATGTATTCATCCCATTCTTCTATATACTTGACCACTTAATCTTGATAATTACCATTGGTTGTGATCATTCGTAACTACTATGTTACTTATATGCCCAACTAAAATGTAGCATACATATGTGGAACTGGAAACAAATACTTATATCTTTCAAGGACTTTGTACATCAATTATACCTGCTAACCTGTCATGAACTAACATTTCCCTTTGCAGAACACCACTCTTTTAAGACCTAAATCTTTTGATTTTCCGTGGAGAGCTAATATCAAGAATGAAGGAAGCGGCATTATTTCTCATGTACACACACTCGCTCCCACTATCTCTCTATATATCTCTTTACTTTTCCATGTGTTAGATTTGGGATGTTTTGTTGATCTTTTGGTGAGTATTGACCACAAAAAACATCACAATGTATGTCACAGTGACATGTGATAAATATAAAAGGAAAATTAAGGTATTTTTAATATAAGCATCACATATTTAAACCACAAAGAGAAAACGATAGAAATCTACATTCATTGGTGATAGACTTAACTCATAGTTCGTCAAGCTAAATTATGGTCAATGGTCAGAGATAACGTGGTACATAAAGACTAGATAAAAAGACGTACACCTAAATGAACTAAGGTTGATGCCCTATATACCATGAAAGCAATGATCATTACATACAAAACATGCTACCAAATACCGAGAATAATAGATTTAGAAAGGCATTTAAGACACCCTCTATTGGAGACTTATCCTGACATACCAACAATCTATTAAATACGCTTCACACCTATCAGAGAGAGAATCAAATCTTGTTTTGCGCCTACCACAAGGATGAGAGAAGATGTTCTAAGCCTAAGCACCTGAGTAACACCATTGACAATGCACATGAACTAGAGCATTGGATGCATCACCAAAAGAGGTATAATTCGTTGGAATAACACCACATCCTCCTGAGTAAGCTAAATTCAGTATGATATACTCAACAAAACGCCTGTGAAAAAAATCTAGACTAAATGCAAAGGAGCATGAAAAATTTCCCACTATAAATGTATGGTAGCTGAACCTCATACCAAGGCCAAGAACACATAGCCTCACTTGTTTATTATGTCGTTATCTATACATTTTTCTAGTTATTACTAATTTGAGCTATAATTTTCTGTCACTAGTATGCAATGTGGCACACAAAGCCAGGAAAATTCTATGGCCTTCGAGCTGAGATGAGTATATGGGATTCATCAAATCAAGAAAACTCTCAAGAATCTGGAGCATCCTTACAGATCTATTGTCAAGATGGAGGAAACTACAACTTAATTCAAGCGGGATTTCACGTACAAACATATCACCCATTCTGGTAAAGTCAAATGCTTTTGAATAAACTACTATTTCATAATCAAGTTTTTCTTGCAGATTTCCCCCTCTTTATACCATAACAAAGATATTCGCTTCTTTACATATTGGACTGTAAGTATAATCAATGCCATTTTAACAAGTTCTATATTATTGTGGTGCACATATAATTTTTGGGTATTTTGTACGAGTTAGAGGCGTTATTGGACTAACTGCAAGTCTCTTTACATCCATAATAATACATGTATCCCTTTTTTATTCCTCAGAAGGACTTAAAATCAAGGGGCTGCTACAACTTGCAGTGCCCAGGATTTGTTTCTGCAAGTGGAGCTAATCTGGTACCTGGACAAGCCATTGTTCCTCCATCAATTTATGGAAAACAAGACTACTATGTTAGGCTTAGCCTCAACCAGGTGAACCATTTGTCCCATTCTGGAGATTACTAAAGCTATATATTCTCCCAAATGTGCCACTATTTCAACTATAACTAGATGGTACCCGCACATTGTTGCAGGAACCTCATCATATTAAACATGTACATGCATGCTATAAGAGCAACTAGAAAAGAGAAAAGAGTTGGATTGCAACTAACACAATGCCATTTTTGTATAAAAAATGTGAAACATGAACTACCTAGGTATACCCATAGTGTCCAACACATAATCCATTCATGACAACAAAAAAATTAATACAAACAATAATTTATGAGGAGCATGCATAACTTGATGGTGTGGTAGGACTGCATGGATAGAAAAAGAAAGCACATATAAAAAAGAAAACTTAAGACGTGCATGACTTGTTAGTAAGTAAGCCTGGTCATAGTGGGAGTAACATAGGTAGTAACATAGATGCCACATAAGCAAAAATGTTGATGTGGCAAGTAGTTAATGAGGAGAGAGGCAAATAGAGTAACCTAATATGTTACCATCACATAGCGCTTTCCAATGCAAAATGAGTCTACAAGACAATAAATGAACATGTGTATGTTACTACACATATGACACTTCCCACTATAAGGGTAGTAACATAGAGTAGTAACGTATGCATGTCACTACTCTAAGTTACTCCCCACTATGACCAGCCTAATATCCATCGTTATTTATTATGAAAATATGGAACATTAATTAGGATCTGGGAAATTGTACGTCACCCAAGATTCTTGCTAATAACAACTTGTTCTCTACTCTTCTTGTGTATGAAATTTATTGTTCATGGCTGTCATCAATCTTTCATTAACTACAGGATCCAAATTCCGAAGATTGGGTGGTGTACCGTCATGATTTAGAAAAACCATCATTATTGGGACATTTTCCAAAGGAGCTTTGCCCTGGAACACCACGTATACAAGCCTTGACTGGATTTGTGAATTACTTGAAGAATGCACATGGTCCTCCAATGGGTAGTGGCCACTTCCCCGATCATTACGATCATGACAATAAGAAATCTGCGTACTTCAAGCACATTCGGTATTACAATCCAAATGGTCATTCTTATAGCCCGTTTGGCGTTCCAATGGTCAAGTTAGTTGATAGGCTAGATTGCTATAGAGCAAATGATTTAGTTCTTGATTATAAGAGGGGCTATATGTTCAACTATGGTGGACCAAGTGGTTGTGTTGGTTGACAAAAAGAATTGTATTCCCATTTGGATTCAATAAGTAAAACATAGTAGTATGTTACTTAATGGTCAAGGACTGTCCCTTATTTCATTTATTTTGTCAAACTCCAAATTGGTTTTGATGCTGATTATCACCATGGTCCCTAGTTTATCAAACTATTGGTTTTCACCATGCACTTAAGCCATTCCCAGCACGTGTACTAGTGACACGAGCTAGGTGATGATAGTAAGTCAAATTGATGAAGGCTCACAGCAGCAGAGACCATATGATTGGGCTCCTCACTACTGCAGAAAGGTCTAAGGCGACACATATATCGCACACCAATCGACCAAACTGTGTACAATACAAAAATCGCAAGCGGTAAGAAAATATACTTGTGTGCCAGAAAATGAAATGTGTACATTGGCCCATACATTTGGCACGATTAGGTGATGAAGACCGTGTATAATAGTTGGCACACTGCTAACTATAATTCTGCGTATGCGAACATGTTCACAACGCATATGGTCTGTGCGTCACCCTAAACAATTTACAAGCACAAAATGTTTGCGATGGCTTGGAGATTCGCACACAATGTGTGACATGAATACTCGTGTGTGATGATTTGAAAGTTACACACACGCTTGGTACAGTCAACTTGTGTGTGCCATAGTGTGACAGTACACACGATTCTTTGGTATGAACTGTGTGCACTATTGGGCAGACAAGTATATCGAACACACCCACAGGTAAGCAATGTGCGCGCACGCGTCATGCTAGCTCGCGCTTCCTTCTTTCCTAAGTTTTTCATTGATGGGAGTTATCCGAATACGCCATCGTTTCCCGCCACTTCCCCATCAGTTTTCCGCCACCAGTGTTTGGGCATAATAAGCCTAGGCACGGCTCGACACACGGAGGCATGACGAGCGCAACATATAGCCCCTCTACCATTTTCAAGCATGCCAACCCGCCGAAGTGACGCCTCTGCCATCAACATCCTTGACGAGGAAACGAGCCGGGGCAGACGCCACAGTTTGTCAAGGCCCCGGGCGTCCCCAGCAACGCACCGGACAACACTGTGTTGTGCGTTATTGCCAGGGTTTAGAGGACCCTCGGTGCAGGGCACGGCAGCGTCGCGGATCAAGATAGGCACGTCCACGCCGCGAGGCTACGGCGTGCCACACAGCAAGACCGATGGAGCGTTGAAGAGCGAGAGGCGCGGCGCACCTGCTGTCCCTGTCGACAGGACATTGCAGCTAGGTCCATGACCAGTCAGTAGTCCGATTCCTCGCCATGAGTGGGTAGCAGCCGTCTGTGTCGTACTTCCACCAAAGGCCGGCCGCGCCACACAGGCACCGGACGCCTGACCATTTTTGCTGGAACCGCCAAATCATTTTGCTTCAACCAAGTACCAGAGGTTTTTTTGCTTTAGATTTTTGCTGGAACCAACAAATCCTTTTGCTTCAACCAAGTACCAGAGGTTTCATTACTTTAGATTTTTCTTGCTGGACATGCTGGTCCAAGTCGATGGAGGCGAGCCGGAGACAGGGAAGCAAGGGAAGTTTCAACCATGGTGACTAGACGTTGGAACCTGACTGTATTGGAGCTGCAGCCATGGCGAGTCGGAGGCAGCCGAGGCGAGCGTAGTGGCGCGAGCGGCCGGCGAGCACAGGTGGCGGGCTCGGTGGCAAACGTGACCGGCAAGCACGGAAAGCCGAGGACGAGTGCTGGCGGCCGGTGAGCGCACGTGCAGTCTGTCGTGGGAACAATTCTGACAAGAATAAGGGATAGGGCAAAGGAGCATGATCTATTGATATGCATGTGGGTGACACAGTGGTTTTAGCGAGTACGGGCCTCTCGCGGTGAAGATAACAGCCCTACGTCTCGTGCTTCGCAGAGGCTTTGTTTTATTTGAGTATGTATCTGGAGATTACAAAGAGAGAGAGAGGAGAACGGATCCCCATGCCAGAGCTAAAGTCCTGGGACTAATGGCGAGAGAGATGAGAGCGAGGGGAAGAAATGAGGGCCTGTCGAGCTATGCGGTGGGGGTGGCTTATATAGAGTGCGCCACCACCTCACCTCTTATGTTACAAATTAGAGTATCAATGCCATAATATTAGCCCATTATGAAACCTCCACTATGAAGATGACGTTTCAACTTCCTTTCGACTGTTGGTCTTCGCACGCCCGAGTGAGTCATACAGCTGAGTGGTTGCCTATCGTCCGAGTGGATGGTACGTCGATGCGTCCGAGTGGATAGTATGTCTGAATGAAATTTGTCTGGACCCACTTGCTATGTGGACCCCATGCTTTACGATATTTTGATCCATCATGGGCCTACCTATTATGTGTATCCCCAACACAGTCCGACATGTGCGCAACTACCTTTTCTATGTGTTTCTATCCGGTGTTTGATTTTTTGGGACGAAGCCAATTCTTTACCGCACAGTTACAAAAGGTTGTATCGGACATACACGTGGCGGCCGGCCGACCGATGCCTATCACTCACCTTAGTTATTTGCAGTTTTTGTTGTTTGACTTACCGCAATGTCTATCTATCGGGGCAGTTTTAATTATAATATTTATTATTATCGATTAACTGAATTATCTCTCTGTGATGCATGTTTTTACCGGTTAGTATATCTTGTTTGTTGGTGTCCAGATCTGGTTCGTAATACATGTTTCTACCATCTTATGTTTCTGGAAAAGACGGGCCAATCAACCCATGACCAAGCACATACGTGAAACAGGCCACTGCAGCGACGTTTATGTCTGCTAGAAAGTAATGCTAGGAGCTACTGCTCATGCTGCTTGCTCTTGGAGATTCTTTCTCAAGCACGGCCTTCCAAATCTGAAGCCCAGAGTCGAAGCTAAACATCTAGAGCGTCTAGAGCATTCTATTGACCCCAATCTGTGATGTGTGTCACTTAACGATTTCCTGTCACCTTAGTTCTAGTACTCCCTCCGTCCAAAAATACTTGTCATCAAAATGGATAAAAAGTGGTGTATCTAGAACTAATATATGTCTAGATACATCCCCTTTTATTTATTTTGATGACAAGTATTTTCGGACGGAGGGAGTACGTGTTAGCTAAAACTGGCACTAGATAAACTGCCTCATTTTTCTCATTTCTTTGCAATTCTGCAGTGTGTAAAAAAAACAGCTAGATCCAATAGACAGTAGAGTTCCTTCAGTTAAAATGAACAGCCGAGGACGGCAAAAAACCGGTGTGGTAAAACGAACGGCTAAACCTGCATCTCTCCAGGCAGGAGATGATGATGGTGAAGCGGTGTAGATTCTAGTATCGTGTCGATGATGAGATGATGATGTGTTTGCATTTGCCTTTGCATTGCAGTGGTACCTTTTTCAAGAACACGCAAGTGTTTTGCCTGTCTTTTGCATTGAGATAGGGTGAAAAGAGTACAAAGATAGCCTGTTGTTGACCGTTTGAACGATCAATGCCAAAGTCAACCGTCAATACAAATTACAAACTATCGACGACTTGATGCTACCAGATGGCCCATTGCGTGGGCTCTTGGCGGCATCGGTGACCTTGTGGATGCCAGCGGGCGTGTCCTGGCCTGCTCCTCATATACGTTTTATGCCCGGTTTGCGTGATGCCCACGTCAGGGTTGTGGACATGTATGACTGTCGAAGCATGGCAATCTTGTTTGCAATGGTGACTTAAGCATTGAAAGTGGGTGCGGCAGTACATGGTGATTTAAGTTTAGTGGTGCTACTGAGCACAAAGTCTCGAGCTCCGGAGTGAAAACTCTAGGTCTGACCTGGCAATGGTGGTGTTCCACACCATAACCTTGTTGGAGGCATTGTCTGGAGTTTCCTCGGACTTCTTCTTCAGGGTGAAAACCCAACATTGTTTGGATCAGGCGACGATGACGCTTGTGCGTCGTACACTTGTTGAAGGCGTGTTGAAGCACTTTTCCCACAGTCTGGGTGCTGCCATCGGTGGGGGTTGATGTTGATGGTCACTGATGCATGCTTGAGCCGCTTCGGCGTGACTTTCAGATGTCGCTTTTTTTCCTCTTTTTTTTTGTGTTGGTGTTGGCTGTGTGCATCCTAGTTGTGCAGAGGCCGGGTGTGTACTCTTGATGATTGTATTACCTTGTTGCAACATTATGAGTCAATAAAATCCACCCTTCATCAAAAAATCTCTTGCAACTCTCCACCTTTCGAATTCCGCCTTGATGTTCCGTAATACCAGTCTCGGCATCAATCTCTGAGCATAACGAGATGTTAACGGCAAGACCTTCGTGAAGGCTTGGATGACGTTATTGCTCGCCGGATCCAAAAGCCGACCGCTGAGGAAGAATCTTCATTCTTGAACTTCCGGAATAATTTTCTAGGGCGCAATCTCAAACAGGGAACAAGCATCTATTTAACTTGGTTGGAACCCTCAAGAATGCTGGTGAGCTTGTTAACAATCAGTCCTACTGCAGTCAATATTTACAGTATCTACTTTGCAAATAGTCCTGGATCTGAATGGCCGGTCTTCCCAAGCCGTGTCTCTGCTCTTAAGTTCCAGGTTTCCAAGTCAGATTGTTTGCTATGTCCTGGATAACATGTATTAATGCTGATTCATGTAATAGTTTCCTGAAGCGGTATTTAGCCATTAGCATTATTCAGTAGTATGAAGGCTGCGTACTGCAAAGCCCAGGGGTGTTATCGATCCCACTTTCCAAGGAGAAAAGAAAACCAAAATAAACCAGTTACGAAGTTGCATATATGGAAATGCAAAGGTTTTTGTAAGTCAACAACAGAGAACAGGCCAACGAGTTGCCAAGGTCTATGTTTCCAATGCAAAATACTAGAGATGTGATAACATGATATATGGGGTGATAGGATAATAGCATTGTGGTCATCTGTAGGCCACAACTTCATCTGTGGTTTAGTTAAGAAACATAGTATTCCTATTCTCTTTTTTCAGAACGAAGTTGTCGAGCACATATTAAGATGCAAATAAACTTAAGTGACCAATATTCATTTGAAGAATTAAGAAAATCATTG